GTGAATGGATGCACAGACTTCCCTCATATTAAATATAGTATTGATGAACTTTTTCCCACAAGATATGTATTTGCAAATAAGCTTTACCGTCCTCACAACAACAACAACAACAGATGTGAAAACATTGAACAGCAAGAAAGACGAAACAAAATTCAGGTAGAGCTGCAAATGAGATATGTGACTTTACTTCTCAACATGTACAAAGAAATAAACAGAAAAAGGCTTAGCTGTTGTAAGTCTTTAACATCCAATAAATATGGATACGTAACTCAAAACTTGTTGTAACACCTCAATAATTTAAAATCAATTCTACAACATCTCCATTCTGAGGTTCTGTTTCACCCAAAAAATAAAAAATGGAAAAATTACATTGATGGTCGCAAGTTATGAATGTATGTAGTGGATGTAGTTCAAGTAGCAGCCTACTGCATCGCAGTCTTAGCTCATGTCATGTTTACCTGTGGCTGGAGATATGTGATTGCTGTGCTTCATCAACTACAGGTGCTACAGACAGCTACTGATGTTTTGTCAGAGATTGTAACTTGAGAGCGAAGCCAGTTGATTTAACTACAATGCTTCCGTGTGGCAGTTGGAGCATGCGCTTGGAACATATCTACCACGAAGCTTACAAAAATTCTAATGTGATACACAGCAATCAACGCATGAAGCACTGCTGAATCAAAGGATGTGAATAGTCCACATAGTTATCCCAAAAGCTCTTGTACTTCTCCATTCCAATTTTGAGCCATGGCTTCATATTTCCATTGTAGTGCAGTACTGCCCCTTCCTTGATAGTAGCAGCATCCACAGTTGTGTAGCCAAGCCCCAAGACGTGCCATTTGGGATCCAATGCTTCAACCAAGCCATAGAAAGAAAGAAGCCCAGGTGGTAAAGACCCAAGCTTCCATAGGGTATGATCAGCATTGCGCTCCTGCCAATAATGATATATGCCTGTCACATTCTTGTTCCTCCATTCGACCAGATCAAGCACGTTCATACCAAATGCCCAGCCACAAGCATCAGGGTCAAAATGAGCATGGATTAGAGGATGGGAATGGTTAAGATACTTATGAAATCTGTGGAATGTCTCCATGCAAGTCTCTACAGCACCCATCACATTACCATTGAGGTTGATAGTAAACAGTTCTGATAGGTCCTTCTGAACAACGATATCATCATCAAGAAACACCACCTTCTGCAATTCGGGATATATTTCCGGAATGTAGAACCTCAAGTGATTAAGCATTGATAAGTACTTTGGGTTCCTGAATTTAATTGGTGTTCCATGATTACCACTGCCGGAGAAGTAGAACTTCTGGGTAGCAGAGTTCTGTAGCTGTTTAAGAACGGGAACATACGATGCATTGAGCCAGGTAAAGTCCTCCACCTTTTGTATCTCCACAGTGACCCCTCTGTAGTCATTCATGGCAAACCACGCCTTCATCGGAGCATAGTTCAAATCATCAGTCACTAGGTGAAAAACAACCTTGTCAGGGTGCCTCGAGTTTATAGCCGTAGAATTGACAACAACTGAAACAGCAAGGATGTTGTCTGAGAAGACACAGAAATGATAGAGGCTGTTATCCCTTAGATTGCTCTGCACTGCTGGGCTCCTATCTGAAAACTTCCTCTGAAGCTCAGGACTCTTGAACCATTCCATGGTTAACCGAACACCAAGGCAGTAAAGTCCCTTTGGGAGCTCCTCCGCAGCAATCTGGCCATATTTTGTGCTCTTCTCCGCCTCGGCTTTCGACTTCTCCTCTAGGGACTGAATTTGGCCTTTCAACTTCATGATCGTGATACCGCTGTCATACCGAAGCTGCTGCGCCTGGAAGAGCAGCACTGACATATCCCTGATCGCCTTCTCTGCTTCCTGCTCCATCACTGTGCCCCCATGGGCTGCAGCATGCGCAAGGATGCTCTGCGCCCGCCGCACCTGAGCACTAAGCTCCGCCACAAACTGCAGGTTGTTGGCCTCCTTGGCGACGACGACATAAGTTTTGGCTAGATAAATCTGGTCCATGAGCTGCCTCGAGAAGGAGCGGGCGCTCAGCATTTCGTCAGTCATGTTGAGCGCATCCGTGATTCCCTCCAGGTAAGCTCTCTGCACGCAAGAGGAGAGGTTTGAAAAAAACTTTTAGATGCTACTCACTAGCACTCGTTATCATCTTCCCACAAAAGCTAGCACTAGACAGCTTAAGCAGATTCAGCAGGTGCAATGGCTACTGACTAAAATTGGCATGCTGGTAGTCAAACGGCCAGACGACGAAACGGTCCCCGAAATGCGAAAAATGCGACGTGGTTACCTGGCGGAGGAGAGGGGAGGAGGTGGTCTCGGATCCGGATGACGCGGCGGAGTTGGACGGCGTCGCGCCGGGGTCGGGGGAGCCGAGGAGGACGGCGAGGAGGAGGACGCACGCGAGGGCGAGGAGGAGGGAGAGCGCGAGGCGCACCCACCACGGCCGCTGCTGCCACCGGCGGTTGAACGACGGCCGCCGCTGGTCCAGGAACGGCCGCCGCCTCATCGGACCGCGCGCCCCGCTGCTCTCGCCGGAAGGGCAGGGCGGGAGGCGCCGCGCCGGGATCTGGGACGCGTTAACCGCCGCGCCCGCGGGCTGCTGGATCCTCTCGCCCGTTTCCTTCCTCCCGCGCCTTCAGATCTCGCTCGGACTCGTAGCAGCGCGGCCGGGCCGGCAGCGTCGTGTGCTCGTGCTCTTGGACCGACGTGCCTTGCTTGACTGCGCTGCGACTTGTTGATCTGCCTGCCTCAGACACCGTTTTCAGATCCAAATGGACAAAGTTACCGCTTCGTCGATGCTTTCTCACTTTCTCTTCACCGCGCGAAGGAAGCAACGGAGTTGTTTTTAACTTTTTTTAGGAAAAAAACGGTGTAGTGTTAGGCAGATCGAGGTTTGAAAGAATGGCCAACACATTGACAGTGTCTTCGCCTAGTTTCCTTCGACGGCCTGTATGGAAAACATATGAATTTCACCGGAATTACGCAGGAATTTTATAAAAATCAGTTTATTTTTACATGAAAAACACAGAAACAGGAAAAAAAATCTCACTATCCAAACAGGACCTAAATTCGTTGCAAAATGTTATTCATGGAAATTTTACCAGTTTACTACCTATCATGCTTCTTATATAATACACCTTTGCTTTTGACAAGAGCTTTCTAACAGACTAACACTATGAGTAGGAGCTTTCTAACACTACGTTTCTTCAACCTTCGAGTCTGTTCGCTTGTCTGAATTATGGAGGAATCTGAATGGTTTGGAGGAATGCTGAAGGAATTTGTGAGAGAAAAACACTGCTCCGAATGAAAAAAAAATAAGCGGATCAAGCTCGGATTTAAGACACGCGAACGGAGCCTTCGTCTTTCAGATATTTTTTATTATTATATTCAATGAGGCTATCACCTAAACTATAGAATTAGCCCTACATAGTCTTATTTCAACCCAACAAACTCATGAAATAAGCCTAAAATAAAATGGCATCATATGCAGGCCATATACGAGTTTTTTTCTTTGTCCGAATCCATTCATCAACGATTCAAAGTAATCCTAATCTAATAACTACAAAGCTATAGAAAACCATGTAGTTTAGATCCGAAGACAAACTTGCAGCATGAGAACTTAGTATGGCTGTGGCACCTGGAACGGTCGGTGAGCCAGCCATGGTCGTACATCTAAATGGTGTTAGTATGCCTCAGGCTAGTATCAATGGAGATTTTATTTTGGTTTTATTTATATTTAATATTGTAACATATCAACAGTTTTAATGACTTGGCAGGTTAACTATAAAGAGAGAGTTTCATATAATTTTATCTTCGTTTGAGCTTATTAGCCTGGGTTATCGGCTACTGTACCGTGCTTTTCTCTCAACAATAAATTAACGAACAGTAATTTTTAGCTTGGCTTTTCAGCGAAACAAACATGGCATTGTCATGGTTACTAATAAAAACTGACATGACAGTCTGGATAATAACGACATGAAACACACCACTGACACTGGCCTCGGGGAGCTACAACGCCACAATGAATTATTCTTTACGAGTGGTGTCCCCTACCGGCACTAAAAACAGCCAATCGCATCGATATAACACGAATGTAGCTTCAGTTGGTGCAGTGCTGTTTTGCTGCAATCGGTGACTAAAGTCAAAGCGGTGATTAGATTGTTAAAAATGTATGACCTGTTGATCCCAACAACGTTGGTTTTCTCTGTGATCTAGGTTGGTAATCTAATTCCATCTACTAAGAAAATCCATCATAATATATAGGCTATATACATGAATCTGGATTTCGCATGATTTATATTTGACAATCTACATCATACTCAGGGCCGGTTTAGTTCCCATTTTAATAAAAACTTTTGCTGTTTTATCTCATCTTTTAGCAAAATAGATCTAAACACCATAGACAAAACACAGCAAAACTTGGGCTGCAAAACTTTTAGCATTTGGGACCTAAAAGGCCCAAAACTAGGGAAAAAAACGTCTTGAGGGCGCGTGGCATGGCTAAAATTTTATCATACATCTAAACACCAAATGTCAAAAGTTTGAATAGCAAAAGTTTTGCAGTAAAAGATTAAGGGTAAAAGTTTTACCATTCAAAAACATCTAAGCACCCCCTCATACTCATGTGAAATCACCAAAGAAAAACCAGGTCGGTAAGGAAAATTCCCATATCAAGACGCCCACCGACTCAAGCAGACAAGGCCGGGCCAAGTAAAAGGCGAATTCTACACGCGGGCCCGTTTCGCCGCCCAACGCCTCGCTCTCGTTCCCCTCCGTGCCGACTAGTCGACGTAAAGCAGGAGATGAACCAACCGTGCAGCAATTCCTCCGTCTGTCCCCTCGCAAACCCAATGGCGTCGCGGTCGCCCGACGACGAGTCCGCGCAGCCACCGTCGAAGCGGCCCGGCACGATGCCGAAGCGGAGGCAGACGCCGCGGAGCCATCGCCGCACAACACCCATGAATAGCCAGTTACATTTTTTTTACTGAAACTAACATTTAACAACAAAATCTTGCTAGTCTAGAGAAATTAACAAACAAACTATTCTTGAATGTTTCTCAATAACATGGATAAAAATTCAGTAATAGACTGCAAAACGCGAACTCACAATTTTATCCAAATGTTCAAGCACAGAGGCCTGATCATTTGGGTCAACATCTGCTTCATCTTTCAACACAACCTACAAATATCAATTGTGAGATTCACTAACTAATATATGAAGCATGAAATACGAAAGTGACATGCCTCAGCATACTCAAAAGGTCTGACAGATCTAAGAGGTATTTTGGTTGGCCTGTACTGATTTCCCTGTTTATGAAACATGTGAGGATTCAGAAAATACACCAAGCACATTAACCATGAATGAGAGTTTTGTTTTTCTCGAACACGCAAGAGAGCTGCGTATCATTATATTACGAAGAAAAAATGAGAGTTGTCTTGAAAGAAAACCTTGATTTCTAACAAAAGAACATGCTTTGGTTTTGCTTCATCATCAATCAGGGACGTCCCAACTGAGGAGCCTGGTTGAGTGATGTGGAAACCCATTCCAGGGACCTCCTGTACAACAACAACAACAACAACAACAACAACAACAACAACAACAAAGCCTTTAAGTCCCAAACAAGTTGGGGTAGGCTAGAGTTGAAACCCATCAGAAGCAATCAAGGTTCAGGCACGTGAATAGCTGTCTTCCAAGCATTCCTATGGCTAAATCTTTGGGTATATTCCATCCTTTCAAGTCTTCTTTTATTGCCTCTACCCAAGTTAACTTCGGTCTTCCTCTGCCTCTCTTCACGTTACTATCCAGGGACCTCCTGTATAAATAGTATATATACAATTCAGTGCATGGCCAGTTTTTTCCTTAAAAAACATACAACAACTCAACAAAGCCTTTTAGTCCTCAATAACGTAAAAAAAAAAAAATCTCAAGCTGTTACCTGAGGATCAATGAGGCATTCATGCTCATGGCCCCATACAACAAAATCCAGAAAACGTGGTAAAAAATGCTCATTGATGGCACTTTTAGGGTTTGTCTTTATCCTGCAAGAGTTCAGTTGTAGACTGCTTTCATTAAACAAAATGAATGGCCAACAACAATTGAACAAGCTATTTTCCTTTGTTGTTTAATTTGCTATGTCCACCTGTTCTGATGAAGTACCAATATATTGAACCAGTCAGACACTGATTCCCCATCTTGAGTTCCAGGTCGCATCCACTGTACTGAATGAGGCGTCTGAAGTATTGCAATACAAAATATGACATCAATAGTAAGAAGAAGCCGGCATGTAATATTTGAATTATCTAAGCAGTTTCTCGTTCCAGTGTCAATAAATAAATTATTTCAAAGTCGTGAAGAAAAAAGATGGAAGGCACCTGAAACATTCTATTTAGTCGTTCATCTCTAATGTTGCCAAGACCATATAGTGCAACCGAAGTTATGCCCTGAAATAATAGGAAAGCAATGAATCAGCGCATAAAACATTAAGATATTGCCTGTAGCTAAAGTGCTGCACCTTTTTTACAAGTACAGGATAAACTTATCTGACCAACGCCAGAGCCACCAAGGTCCATCTTTCCAAAATAATTTACAAGATTGCAAGCCGAAAGAATATCGATGGCAGAGAGATTATCCTACAGTCAGAAACATAAATTCATGAAAGGAAGCTGGCATTGATCATAAGCACAATTTCAGTATAATAAACAAAATTCAGATGTTAAGAAACAATGTCAATACCACTCCAGCAGGGTCATCGTGATTTCCATGGATGGTGAACACAGGCAGACCAACACTGAAGTTGGGGTCTTCATAATTTACCTTACCAAATCTGAGAATGCAATAAGAAATTTCCGTATGAATATGAGAAACACACACACACACACATATTTCTACACATTTCAGAAGTCCTCAAATGGTATGTGAAACAAATGAATTTCAGAAGTGAACAACACCGCTACAAGAGCTTCTAAGGTGCAGTTGTCTTTAACGTAGATTGATCACCAAAGTATGAAACCTGTTTGGGAAGTTGACTGTCTGATCACTGACAACCTGGAACTTTACTGGTTGATCATTTAGGCAGTAGCGCCGTAGAATCTCAATCGTTTTTACCAGGGTTGAGCGCGACGGCTTGTTCTCATGGAATAGATCACCGCCAAGAAGAATAAAATCTACCTGCAATGCATTCTCGCATATTAAACAACAAATGAGCTCGCCAGAGCTGGAGAAAACAAGTGATGCCAACAGAAATATGACTCTTACAAACCTTGTTTTGATCCGCCAATGCGCAAATCTCCTCAAATGCTTGGAAGGAATCAAACCTGCGTATCTCATCTTTCTCCATGTAGCCTAGATGGCAGTCGGTTGCTACAAGTATTCGGAGCGTGTTGCTATCCCTTCCCCTCCCCTGCAATATCATTTGACGGTTAACATAGTAAGAACCCTGAACCCAGCATCAAACAACAGGCAACCATACTGCTCGCTTCATGCAGCTATTTAGTCCATTTCACAAAGTAAGCGATTGGAGCAACCACAAGAGAGCTGTAATCCTCTGCACAACCAGAAACTTAGGTCTACCGATGTAATGAACAGGATAACTCACCTAGGTTGTGCTGGTTCAGACATTGGACCCTGAACTCAACGTCTTGGCCAAATCAATCCGTTGCTGTAAAATCCAAGCCCTGCAAAACCAACCATTTCACAAGTTAAAATAACAGGGGCGGTAAAGGACCCGATAACTTTTCCAAAACAAAACGAAGTTATTAGTAGGCATAATACATGTGTATACAACTTCGATTAAATCAGTTCCGAATACAAGTAGCCCCAAATAGCTTAAGTTAGGGTTTGGGCGCTCGGTTTCGCACGGCAGCAAGGGAACAGAAGGGGCGAGCATACCTGGCAGGTGCAGCGAAGGGTTTAGGGTTTAGGGCGGAAGAGGCCGGAGGTCCCCCAGTCGTCGCCACGAGAGAGGACACAGGGGTGAACGGGTGAAGACTGAAGACGACGAAGGGGTGAACTTTGGTCAAGGTCCTGTGGAAATTTGACTGGGCTTGGAGCGGGCCTTTCAGGCGTGGAGACAAACGCTAGTGGGCCAACCCATCCGCGCGGACTGATTGCCGCGGAAAAAAAAAAACGGTGGTAGTCAGGCAGAAGTGGCCCAACAAAATCACGGTCCAAGAACAAATCATCGGCCCAAAAAAGAAAGAGGAGCTGCTTTTCTTCTCCGCGAGTTTTCCCCCACCTCCACCTCCCCGTCTTCCCGAGCTGCGGCGGCCGCATCGACTGCTAGGGCGAAAATCCGCTCGACTCTCCCGGCGAGTTCCGGCTGTCAGGAGGATCCGCGGGAAGGATTCGGCTGCATCCTAGTGTCGTGTTGAGATGGTAAGCGTCGACGCCCCTTTTCCGCGTGCGCGGAAGACTCAACTTGTTTAGATTCCTCTAGTGGCAGGTGAAGCGAGGTTAAGTGGTGCTGCTTGTTTCATGGTCAGGCTGGGCGCAAGGAGACTGCACTCGACCTGGCGAAGTTCGTCGACAAGGGCGTCCAGGTGAAGCTCACCGGCGGCCGCCAAGGTTGATTTCACATCTCCCTCCCTCGTTCATTCCTCCTCCTATAACTGTAACTATCAGGACAGTTTGGTGCTCCGAATTTGTACCTTCTCCTTGAGCAGGATTTAGCTATTGCTTACTGTTAATTGGAGTCGTCTCTATCCAGCTGGTGATATGAATCGTTGAGGGATAAATACCTTGTTCATGCGCTTATTTGTGCGAACTTGTGCTGATGTATTGTCGTTTTGGATAAATTATCGAGTGAAATTCACACCACAAATCCCAGTGCTTGGTTATACCAAGAGTCATATAAGTCATTGTTGTCTGACGGTACATTAGTGAACCACAAAACTTGGGATTAGTATGTCACCGACCTACTTGTTCGATCCAGTACAAACACAGCAATAGAAGTATCTAGAAGCTACTAGAATGATCTGGATACAGGTTTGGAAGGGGAAGAAGGGAAAAGGTGAAATCTAGCCGCAGCTAGCCTCGAGCTCGCGCTCGCCGCCGGTTCAGGTTCTGGTCCTTCGACACTCCTTGCGGTGATGGTGGTAATCCTTTTATGTTGGTTTGCTTTCCTCCTTGGAATACTGAGGAGCCCGGTCCTTATCTTCTCTCGGTCCAGGTCTAGCCCATGTCCCTTGATCGGCCTAGCCCACGGTATCTCTACTAGTATCATGACATACTCCCCTCCTTGAAACACGGCTTGTCACCAAGCCGTTGCAGCAAAACCTCTAACAAACTTCGAACCACCGGGATCCCATGTAACTCGCACACTCATAATGTTGAGAATAACTCTGCCATGGCACCAGTCATCATTGAGTTGTTTCAGATAACACAGGTATTGCCCATATTGAGACCCTTGCACCATGGCTTCATTGTCTTGCATGAGTATTTGTTGGATGGATGCATTCAAGAAGCAAGTTGTTTCGCTGCCAATGTTCTCACATGGTATAAGAACCCAACTGCTCCAAAAATTAGAACTGTCTGTAATGCAGCATCTATTGGAATTTTTATACCACCAGCATGGGCTGCAGGTCTGCAAGAGAAATACCACAAGTCTGATGGTCAAGGGTTTAGCACCAAGTGGATCCCACAAAATCACTTGCCAATCCTTGATGATGCTAATCCAGAGCACGACAATCAACTTCTTATGCAACCACACTAGAAATTTCTGAAACTGAAACATACTGCTCTGACATTGTATATGAGTTGCTTGCTCACTGCTACTGAGTATGTCACTAACACATGGTGGCCATGGTTCTGGTATAGTTGGTGATGGCCATAGAGGCATCGGTAGTAAAGCAGCTCGAACATCTTCCTTAGTGTCAACCAATTCCAACAAGAGTGGTTGGTCATGCGTGAGAAATACAGAGTGCATGCCAGGTAAAATACAGCAGCACTTTTGGCTTCACTGTCAGTACCTCACACACCAATATATATGACTGAAAATTCACAGGTAACAGCTGCAGATTAGTACCTCTGGATGCCTTCTTTAGTTGCACAGGTGGTGTCCCATTGTCGCGAAGTTCACTTCGAATTTCCTTCCAATGAATGCCAACCAGTTGCTGAATTTCACTGAAGCAAACCTGATTTAGATTGATGCTGTGAATCTGGCACCAGTCCAGTACATTTATGAGCCTCCAAGTCTGCACATATAGAGCTTTCTGTTCCTGAACATGCAAACTGAAGTACAACCTTCTCATTGCATCCAGATCTAGGAGCTGTGCAGACCACTTTAGAGGTAACAGTACTAACAAAAAATGCCAACAGCCTGCTACACGAGTCAATACACATATGGAGTGAATATTAAGCCAGCACTCACACTTGTGATACTTGGAATCTGCACTCACTTCAATATAACTCAATGCATTAGCACAAGCTTTAGTTGGATAGCAACTGAAAGACGGCCAAGGCTGGAGCTCAACTTTCTGGTCTGTGACCTGCTTATACCCATACAGTGCCCACGGTTTCAAGCATAAGACCGTCTTCTCATTTTGCCATTGCTTCTCATGAGCAAGTATCATATCCTCATTTTGCATTTGTTCCATCTGAATATCCCAATACAATGACAGGTACCATGCAGAACTGGACCAGTCCATGGTGATTTCTCTTTGCAAATTCAGAGCCATCATAGTAAACTGATTATAGGCAGCAACAAGATTAACAAATAACTCAGGCAACCAATTCAGCAAGTGCATCCCAAACTGAGCACCAGAGCAAGCAAGTAAGTAGTCCACACTAACATGCTCACTAGGGAAGCACCACACAATCCGCACACAAATCATTGCAGCTATTTGTACTCTGCATTTACTTGGATCAGCAAACAAGTTGAGAATAGATACGTCCCATATAATTGAAAACCCAGTTAAATTCCCAAGCTGCTGCAAATTTGTGTCACATGATAGGAGCATGTAACTCACTCTATGTATCAAGGAAACAGAGTGTTCAAAATATGGCCAAGGATTTGGTCGTAGCTCAATGATACTATCCTCAACCTGGCTGCCCAAAATCTCCACTAACATAGGAGGTGGCCATGGCTGCTCTTGCCAGTCCTTAAAAACTCCAAATATTGACATTCCCAGGGCACAAAATGACAGTAGTTTCACATGCTCTACTAGCATCAAGATCCTTAGCAACTCAGATGTATTCTCCTCATGGTGAAGTGTACCTTGATAGCAACAGCAGTCATGGAGAAAGCACATAGGCTGAGAGTTGTTACCTCGTCGCTGCCATGACCTTGCATCGAACACCTGGTGTGCATCACAGAGAGGAACTCGGTGATTGGGATGTGGACCTCGCTGACGTCACTGTCGCCCAGGGAGCGCTCGGCGCGGAGGAGCACGTGGAGGGAGCCGGCGCCGGTCGCCGGGATGCGGAGCGTGGCGTTCCAGATCGGGTTACGGTCGCCGGTGCGGTCGACCTGGACCCGCTTCCGCGACAGGGGGTCGCCCGAGAGAGACAGCATGGCGTAGACTTCCATCTTGGACAGCAGGTTCACGTCCTTGAGGTCCTTGGCCGAGGTCAACGTCAGCTCCAACGTCCGCGTCGTTGCCATGGCCGGGAGCTTGTCACCGAAGATGTGCTTGCCGATCGGACGGCCGAGCACCTGGTTGGAGGTGGCGCGCGAGGGCACCGTGAAGAAGAAGCCCCGACTGTAGAGGATGCTGCGCGCGGTGGTGAGGACGAAGCGGTCGATGCAGGGAGTGACGGATGCGGAGTCCTGGTCGGCCACCACGATGTACGAGGAGGCGCGGTCCGCAGATGGGTCGTGGTCCGCGAGAGACCTAGCGGCGGCCTTGGATTCGGAAGCGGAGGCAGAGGCGAGGGAGTGGAGGGTGGCGAGGACGGAGTCGTCGGAGTTGTAGCCGGTGCCGGTGGTGCTGTCGACCTCACGCCCGCTGCTGTCGGAGTCGGCGACGAAGGCTGGAGGGGTGGTTCGAAAGGCCGCGTTGCACGCCTCCAAATCTGACGCCATCTTCATCACCATGACGAGGATCTGGTCCAGCATCTCCTTGCGTCGTGCCTCTTGTGCGGCATCCATGGCGGAATCTGAGAGCCCACAGATCGAGAGCTCCGGTACCAGTTGTCACCGACCTACTAGTTCCATCCAGTACAAGCACAGCAATAGAAGTATCTAGAAGCTACTAGAATGATCTGGATAAAGGTTTGGAAGGGGAAGAAGGGAAAAGGTGAAATCTAGCCTCGAGCTCGCGCTCGCCGCCGGTTCAGGTTCTGGTCCTTCGACACTCCTTGCGGTGATGGTGGTAGTCCTTTTATGTTGGCTTGCTTTCCTCCTTGGAATACTGAGGAGCCCGGTCCTTATCTTCTCTCGGTCCAGGTCCAGCCCATGTCCCTTGATCGGCCCAGCCCACGGTATCTCTACTAGTATCATGACATAGTACATGCCAAAACCTTGGGTTTTGTGACACTTGGGTCGTAATCCTAGGTTTTTTTGTGAAATTTACTCTAAAACATATTGTGTGCTTGCTCTCTGACTGTGTATGTGTTTGCGTGCTTGTCTTTATAGAACACTAAAGGGATATATAAATTGGAAAATCAAAACGAACTAGTAATGTTGTCACCATTTTGTGTTCTACAATGTGGAATGTTCACTGCAGTCATTTACACAACCTCTTGGGCTCTTGGCTTGCAACTTCCTTTTATGTTGGAATGATTCATGTATCCATCTTAGGCATATTGTCCCTTGTGCTAGTTGCTGAAGTTTGTGTAGGCTCCTTCAGTGATTTAAAGCCGTGGAACTTCTTGTTGTTTTTCTGGTTTTTGTTCTGTAATAATGCTGACCTGCCACCTTATTCATGCGTCCAGTGACAGGAACTCTAAAGGGATATGACCAGCTACTCAACTTAGTGCTAGATGAAGCAGTTGAGTATGAAAGAGGTATTTTCTGATTCCTTTGGTTCTATTGTGTAACACGGAGTTTGCTCATTGAACTTGTCTAGGGTTAAGACTTATGAAACAATTTAAAAGCACATTTTGCCTCAATTATTTTGGGCAGTTAGCATTTGCAAGCTAATTGTTTAATTAAAATTTAGCTGTGGGGATAAAATAACTGTTTACTAGCACTGAACTAAGTGTTAAAGAGTGAATGGAGAATGGACTATATATTCTGCAAATAACAGGGTCATAGTGCCTCATATCTGTCTTTCAAAAAAATGTGCCTCGTGTCTGAAGCTCATATGCTTCATGTGCAGATGGAACAATGTTAAATTTTTGTTTATAGTGCTTAATGGAATGATCTATAATCTTGTCATTTTCTTTTGTAGAGCAAGATGATCCATTGAAGCTATCAGGGAAAACCAGACAGCTTGGCCTCATTGTAAGTATTCCTTTCTGACAATTGTTGATTTAACCTTTGTACTCGGTCATTCCTATGATATTTGAGTAATGCATGGGGAGCTGATGTTGAAGTGTGCCATTGTATTCTTCTAACAAGCTTGTACTCAGTTTGTTAGCGATGAATGATTCTAATAATAATTAGCGATTAGGCCCAGGCATTACCTGAAGAAAGTTAAGAAACTACATAATTGTCTGGACGCTGATAAATAAATTACTTTTGGCATATGCGATGTTCCTTTTTTATGGGCTTTACAACTGCAGATCTGAACATCATGCATCCCATTCTGGTTCTTGCAGGTGTGCAGAGGCACGGCTGTCATGCTGGTCTCACCGACCGATGGAACTGATGAGATCGCCAATCCTTTCCTTGCGGACGGAGCATAAGCTTGCACTTGGTCGATTATTTAGAACCGTGCTCTCAAAGCACCCTCGGAACAATATGTCCCAGTGGAAAAAAAAAAGTACTCCATTCTCGTGTATTAGTTGTACCGGTTGGTGATGAACGCTATAATTTCACTGTTGCAACTTAAAACATCGACCCTGTGGTTGCTAACGTGCTGCTGCTGAGTACTTCCGCTTTCTTTCCTTTTTTTTCTGATGCTACGAGTTCTGTTTTATTATGCGCAGTTGTGCTTTAGAACTGAGGGACAAAAGGAGATCTCACGGTCATGCACGCACGCTAGGGCTCATCAGCAAATTGACACGTCTCACTTTTCTGCATTTATATTTTATTCTTATAACTTTTGCTATCAGAGCAACTCCAAAAAAAACTCTTTATATCCTTTATTTTTTATAAAAAAAACATGTGGCGTAGCCCCCCTACTGATTAGTATATATGAATAATAGAAATAGAATAAAAAGGAGGTGTCCAAACAACAGAATTTAAGAAACCAAAAAGGACAAAAGAAAATCAGTATATATGAATAATAGAAATAGAATAAAAAGGAGGTGTCCAAACAACAGAATTTAAGAAACCAAAAAGGACAAAAGAAAATATAAAGAAGATCACAATTAGTGCTCTAGCCATTCTTCTATAAGAGGAAAATATTTCTTCTTCGCTTTATGCTTAACCAGAGCAAACTCTTTATATCCTTTATTATTGATAGAAATAGAGATTTTAGTAAAAAATACCATCCAACAACTCCAAATATTGCTATCGTCTATTTTGTATTCCTCACCGCAGGGTTGACTCTCTAGAGTGTATATACCAGATATAGAAAAAAAGTTAGAAGGTTAAAGATAGAGCGATTTTTGTATTATCCTAGTAACTTCCCAAATTATGATTTAGAGAGTGAGTTTAAGAAAAACTTTTGGAGATGTTGTCGGTTCAGCATTGAATCTATTATGCACACACTGTAATTGTAGCACATAGTAACTCTTCGAATTATGATTTAAAGAGTGAGTTTAAGAAAAACTCTTGGAGACGTTGCCGGTTCAGTGTTGAATCTATTATGCGTAACGTAGTAACTCTCCAAATGATGATTTAGAGAGTGGGTTTAAGAAAAACACTTGAAGATGCTCTTGGTTCAGCATTCAATCTATTACGCACAAACTTGTAATCGTGTCACATGCGCGTCAATCTCTACTGTTTTTTTGCAATCAAATTTGAATGTTTAGTGTTTGTGTGTTTGCATACAAGTCATGTACTCAAGAGTTTAGAACAACTCAAAGAGGCTTTTTATATCCTTTCGTATTAATAAGAACGAAGATTTTATCGAAAAAAAAGTCTAACAGTTTCTTCAATTGGATCTTTAAATATTGCCCTTCTCTATTCTGAATTTTTCAAGGACAGCGAGTGAGAATGACTCTTCAAAATACTTGTGAGATATAGAGAGTTAGCTGTAGATAAATTCACTATTGGTGCATTATTAGTGGTAGTGACGGAGCCAGAGATAGAGACGAAGAAAAAGAGAAAGAGACAGACATGGTAGAGATTAAAAGAGGTCTCGGATCTGGCGGCCGCCGCCGTCCGCATCACCATCGAGACTTATGTTTGACCAATGCTGCCTTGTATGTCTTGATCCAAGATTACTCAAAAAAAAAAGACATGGGATTATTGATCAATTCACCATCCTCTTCATCCCGCCGGAGAACCACCAAATCCACCGCATCGGAGAGCGTAGAGGTTAGAATTAGGCAGAGGTCAAGATGGTGTGCATCCGGCAGGCGACCATCGACGACCTGCTGGCGATGCAGGCGTGCAACCTGATGTGCCTGCCGGAGACTACTAGATGAAGTTATACCTCTACCACATGCTGTCGTGGCCGCAGCTCCTCTTCGTCGCGGAGGACTACGTCGGCCGCATCGTCGGCTACGTGCTCGCCAAGATGGAGGAGGACCCCTCCGAGCCCTGCCACGGCCACATCACCTCCCTCGCGGTCCTCCGCTCCCACCGCAAGCTCGGGCTCGCCACCAAGCTCATGTCCGTAGCGCAGGCAGCCATGGACCAGGTCTTCGGCGCCGAGTACGTCTCCCTCCATGTCCGCCAATCCAACCGCGCTCCTTCCAGATTAAATCAAAGATGACTGGACCAACACCCCTTCTAGACAACAACAAGCATCAGACGCTCAACCATTGTTGGTGTGAGTGAGCTCCTGAAATCATCAAGATTTTAGTGAAAAATACCATTCAACAGCTCCAAATATTGCTATCTTCCATTTTGGATTCCTTAGCCAACGATGAAGAGCCGGATTCGTATACAAGATATAAACAAATTGTTGAAAGGTGAAAAAAATATAGAGAGCGTTTTTATCATATTGACTCTGCAAATGATATTTAGAGAGTGAGTTCAAGAAAAAACTTTTGCTGTTATGCACAAACCTGTAATTGTGTCACATGCAGTGACTGTACGGAAAACGTGTCAATCACGGTAGAGGACAACCTTTCTCATATATTGCTTTTTTGCACTCAAATTCGAATGTTTAGTTTGTGTTTGGATACATGTCATGTACTCCAGAGTTTAGAGCAACTCTAAGAGGCTCTTTTATATCATTCCATGTTAATGGGAATATAGATATTGGTGAAAAAAAAGTTCTCTAATAGTTTCTTCAATTAGAATCTTCAAATATTGTTATTCTCTGTTATGAATTTCTCGCTAGCTAGAGAGCGAGAATGGCACAAAGATATGAATTTCTCTATTTTTTTGAGTGGATATGAATTTCTCTAAATGAGGATTAGAAAAGTGGGTTTAAGGTTTTTTTTTTTTTTTTGAAGCTAGGGGTTTAAGATTGTTTGTTGCTCATAGGCTGGCCAAACACGGCTAAAGTTCGTAAGCAACAAATCACTCGGCCCACAGGCCTATTTCGGCCCGTTTCCTCTCTAGGGTTAGGTCAAGACCTCCCGAGCCCCTCCCTATATTAATGCCAGGCGGCCGCCGCCGTCCGCATCACCATCACGACCTATCGCCGGAGAACCACCGAATCCACCGCATCGGAGAGCGTAGAGGTTAGAATTAGGCAGAGGTCAAGATGGTGTGCATCCGGCAGGCGACCATCGACGACCTGCTGGCGATGCAGGCGTGCAACCTGATGTGCCTGCCGGAGAACTACCAGATGAAGTACTACCTCTACCACATGCTGTCGTGGCCGCAGCTCCTCTTCGTCGCCGAGGACTACGGCGGCCGCATCGTCGGCTACGTGCTCGCCAAGATGGAGGAGGACCCCTCCGAGCCCTGCCACGGACACATCACCTCCCTCGCGGTCCTCCGCTCCCACCGCAAGCTCGGGCTCGCCACCAAGCTCATGTCCGCCGCGCAGGCAGCCATGGACCAGGTCTTCGGCGCCGAGTACGTCTCCCTCCACGTCCGCCGATCCAACCGCGCCGCCTTCAACCTCTACACTTCCACCCTCGGGTACCAGATCCACGACATCGAGGCTAAGTACTACGCCGATGGGGAGGACGCGTACGATATGCGCAAGCCTCTCCGGCAGCCCCAGCCGAAGAAGCATCACCATCACCACCACCACCACCACGGCCCCGGTGGGTGCTGCTCCCACGACGCACCTGCGGCGGCGACTGGTTCTTCTCATTCTTCTAGTTCGCCGGATAAGAAGGCTAACACTTGACGGAGGGTAAGCTTTTCCTTGCAAGCTCTTGATGTTACGTTCTCTATATATTGCTTATATTGCTTGTCACCATGTAGTTCGCTTTGATTAGGCTGTGATTATGCTGTGATTTCGTTTGTGAGATCAAATGTGTAGTTTCGTGTATGTCAATGTGCCTCTCCTCACCTTTGGTTTCTTGAGAATGTTCACTCTCAAGGCAGCCCAGTCATGGAGGCACATATCAATTATTGGTGAGTTTAACGTGGAAGCTTACTGTTTCTTGTCGTGGTATTGCTTCTAAAATCTCTCACTAAATCAGCCAACTGCGGTTGTTTGTCCTCAGCTTGTTCAATGTTCGATGATTATTGTCATGATAAGTTGATTAGCATCAGCTTTCAATTTCCTTTGTTGTATTGGCAAGTCTGTAATATTATATGAAAATCTTTTACTAGGCAATGATGAATCGCCCTTTGAATTAGATGTAGATTGCTCCAAGTCCCTGATTTTCAGGGAGAACCTACTTGGGTATCTACATTGGAATGAGATATACGGGCTTTACTGAGCTTTATGAACAAAGCATTTAACAACATTTTGAACAATGTATATGCTTTTTTTTTGTTACCTGGTGGATATTGTTCTTGAATGAAATTGTCCATATTTATTTGGCAGAACATAGATGGAGAAATGTGCTTACAATTTTCTTGCTTATGATGATTTGCCTAATGTGTGAGGTGTAGACAGTTCCAAGTCCCTGCTTGCCAGGGAGAACCTACTTGGAGTCCTACATTCAAATGAAATTCATGGGCATTTTCTGAGGTGTTTTTTGTGCACTGTGGTTTTGGTTTAAATATTCACCTATGTTATGTTCAGCTCTTTCTTATCTTTCACTGTTATATTTGAAAGCTTATGAACCAAATGCCTCCAATTTTCACCTTCACAGTAACCTATGATGAGCTGCCCAACATGTGAGGTGTAGGTAACTCCAAGCCCTGTTTCAGGGAGAACCTACTTGGGGTTCTACATCCAAATGAGATACATGGGCATTTACTGAGGTTTATAAACAAGGCCTAATGTTTTGCCTTGGTTTGCTGCATGCATTAGTCTACGTGAGAATTGTTCTTTGATGACTGATTGGTACACTTAGGGTTCTTAGTTGTATGTTATTGCACATGTAATGATTATTCCTTGGTGTTTCATCAGCAAGATAAATTACTTTGTGAGACTGCCAGTGATGATTAGTCTGCAAAATGGATGTCCTGTGGACTCAAGTCCCTGTTGCAGGGAACCTACTTGAGGAAGCATGGTACATAATATGACATCATTTGATAAAACTGAGGCATTACAGGAGAACCTTATTTCCTTCTCAGTTTTTGCTTCGTGATCTTTCCTTTATTCTGAAAGTTGTGCTTAATCGTAAAGCTTGGTTGAGGTCATATCAGAATCCAAGCAATCATCTTTTAGTGATGTTTGTCTGCGAAATGGATGTGCTATGTATCCAAGTCCCTGCTTCAGGGAGAACCTACTTGGAGAAACAGCATCTAGTATGACATGAATTCAGAGACTGAGATAATATTGCTGCATTATTGTTATGTTTTATTTCTCTCTTTTAGTTCCATTTCTTAAGTTTCATGGAAACATAGTGATTTTGTGTTTTGACATTCTTTGAGCTGCATTGTGCAATTTAAATATTGAAGCTGAAATTCAATTTTGTGTGGTACTTAACTAGCTTCTGAATGTTGCAGACTCATATCTACCAAGCCCATTGGACTTATCTTTCCTCTCCCCGGAAGATAAAAGATTGTAGCTTTCTTTTCCTAATAGAATGGAAGAGACCTGTAATGTGATTATTTGTGTACTTTCTTGGTCGATTGCTTTGTAATCAGTGAGAATGGCAACCAAATATACTTGACATTGTATTGTGTTTGTAAAAACATGTGCTCCAACGCGGTTTCTCACAGTTCATTTGATTAGTCATGCCTGACAATTTGTCAGATTTTATACAGCAAGATATAATACAAGTTTGGAACCTGTAATGCCGTTATTTTATTATCGGATCACTTACAGAGTGCAATTTTCAGATATAATTAGCATATTAGTCAATTAGAACTCCAGTTTTTCTGTGTCATCAATGCTAATTGTTTTGAAAAAAAATAAACGCTTTTGCTTGAATACTATCTTTGTCTTCAAAAGAATGCAACCATGATATGCGTGTCAGTTAAAAGTGTTTTATGTTTGATCAATTTTTTAGTAAATAGTATTCACATTTATAATTTCAAATCAATTTAGTATGAATATACATTTCGTAGTTAATTTAATGATGTTTATTTTATATTATAAATATTTATACTTTTTAATTTATAATTGGTCAATACCTTGTTCGTTTCGCTAAAATTTGGCTTATGCTTATGCTGATTTGTTGTGAGAGAAAAATAATGTTCGTTCGCTCAAAAGTATACGAACAGGGTCTAAACATGACACTGTTCTAGAAAACATTCTTTTGGGGACGAAGGAGAATATGCAATGCTAATTGTTTTGAAAAATAAACACCTTATGTTTTGACTTATTTGGAACGAAGGGAATAGAAGAGTTAGCCATTCTTAAATGAGCAGTAAAGAGCATGCTAGGATCTTTTACCCTAAACTTTAGATCTCTAAACTTGATAGCTAAAGCTCTAACCGAGTGATCTAAAGTTAACTCTAAACTTTAGTCTACCTCAAGTTAAAACCTTAAACTTTAAAAATGATCTAAAGTACTCTAAAGTTTTTAGAGCTCTAAACTTTAAAATAGGGATCAGTTAGGCCATTCTCCAGAGACAGTCTAGGCTCATCAGTCCAACGAAGACAGGAGTTGTTATGATTAAACAGAACACCCCATCGAGTGAGATCTCATAATAGTCTGAATCGATATTCAGCCTATTCGCTTGGTCGTATTTTGCTTATAAGCCATATCTTATCAGCCAACGAACAGTATTTTTCTCTTACACCAAATCAATCAAAAGTATTTTTAACCGTGGCTTATCTGACAAACTCAAACGAACGGAACGATTGTCCTGTCTTGTGTGAATCGTGCGTTGGTTCTACCGAGTTAAAATAGTGCCCTGCTGACGGCTATAGGCATTCATTGCCTTCACATGCTGCTTCAGTAGTCCACCTTTTGGCCCTGCAAAAATTGTTTCAGATTCATCAACGTGGTAATAAACTGTGCTAGAATTTGTCACTAGTAGTGTACAAGTGTGTTATTATCTATAAATCTTGTCTTGGATCAGTCCTTCCAGAAACCAGAGGAAGCCTTAAGAGATGTAACTACATTATCAGTTTAAAACTAGTGTGACGGCAGCTTTCTTAACTACTCAAAGCTAGCCTGAGCTGAAAAGTGATCCATGAGTAGGGCTGAGCAATCGTTTTTTTCGGTGTAAAAAACCTTCGGTGCTGGAAAACTCAGAGGCGATCGGTGCTGACAAATACCAAACCCCGACATGTTCGGTGTTCTGTTTCAGTTCAGTGTTTGGTGTGCACCGAACACAACCGAACTTGCAGCACACTGACAGGAACACAGAGACAGTTGATTAGCACAGTAAATAATACTGCAATAACCATTTCGGCAGTTCATGTTTCAATACTACAATAACCGAACCAACAAGGCAACAATACATGAAGTTCAAAGGCCAGTAGTAGATTGCAGATTAGCAGTGGTTCAAACTTAAATTATTACAAGCAAACATGTTCACAGTGGCCACAAATTGATTAAATCAAAGATGAGTGCACCAACACTCCTTCCAGACAGCAACAACATCAAACTTTTGGCTTGTTCAACACTCTGTTGTCTCCTTAGGAATAGTGAAGGCACCCAGTTCTACAATAAGTGAAATATGAAATGCAACATTAGTCATGAGTAGATAGAAATGAATCATGAAGAACATAAAAGAACTAGATAGCATTAAAATTAACAAGTACCTTCCTCAAGCTTGTACAATTCTTCTTCATTCTCTTCAACACTAACAACATTGGATCCACGAATCCAATCACTTGCACAAATCAGACGCTCAACCATTGTTGGTGTGAGTGAGCTCCTGAAATCATCAAGAACACGTCCACCTGTACTGAAGGCTGATTCAGAAGCGACAGTTGAGATAGGAATTGCTAAGAGATCACGGGCCATGCGAGACAGTATTGGAAACCTTCTAGCATTGCCCTTCCAATACTTGAGAATGTCAAACCCTTCATTATCCTCTTCATTGTCTTCTGAAAAGTACTTGTCAAGTTCAGATTTGGTAGTGGCATTTGCACCCCCACGTTTCCTCATTTTCTCAGCAATTATAGACTTGAACGACCTTTTGCTCTCTGGAGGTGGTTCTTGAGTCTCAGTGGGCTGTTGTGGTGCATTATCACTTGGAGCATACATATTTCTATACTCTTCAAACAAAGCATGGAAAGAAGTGTTCACTGTTTCCCACAATTTCTCTCCTATCTCATCACCAAACAAGATCATCATAGCCATCTTTATTTAAGTTGAAAGCTTGTACCTTGGATCAATTGCAACACAGAAATAAACAACAAAGTTCAGGTTCAGCAATTGATCCCCCTTATCTTTCTCTCCTCACTTCTCTCTGTCCCCCAGCCTCTCTCCATATTTCTCCCCAAAGTACTTGTAGTACTTTACTAGCATTCTCTTACCCACTTCACTACATAACCTATCCTCACTGTGGCACCACTCTTGCAGCAAAAGCAACAGTTCACCAATCTCATGAAAATAAGTGTTTGATGTTGGACAACTTGTGACAGAAACACGGAGCGTAAGTTCATAAAAATGTTCAAGAAATTCAGCCATCTTCCTAGCATTATCCCAATCTGATTTTTCAGGAACTCCTGGACCATCTTTCTCGTCATTTAAGTCTAGTTTATAGTATGGGTCTTCATCACTATACCTTTCAAAAGCCTTTTCATACTGCTGTGCAGTGTTTAGCATCAGGTAAGTAGAGTCCCACCTAGTGCAAACATCTTGGGTCAGAAAGGCTTTGGTCTGTACCTTTGCTAATTCAGCACATTTCTTAAACTTTGCCAATCTAGATGTTTCACCCTTGACAAACTTAACAGCAGCACGGACACGAACCACAGACCTATCAATTTCCTTTAGGCCTTCACTAACTATCAAGTTAACTATGTGTGCAGCACATCTCATGTGTAGATACTCTCCTTTAGCAATGCTACCATTTGATTCATTCAAGACCCTCCGCATGTACTTTATTGCATCGTTGTTCGCACTATCATTGTTTACTGTTATTGTAAAAAACTTATCAATTCCCCATGCTGCCAAGCAATTCTCTAGGGATTTTCCAATATCTTCCCCTCTGTGACCCTCTACCAAGAAAAAACCAATGATCTTTTTGTGGAGCTTCCAATCATTGTCAATAAAATGTGCTGTCACACACATGTAGTTTTGGTTGGTATTAGATGTCCATGTGTCAGTTGCGAGGCTAACCCTTCCACAGTGTTCTTTTAAAAACTTCTTCAGCTTTTCCTTCTGGACATCATACACTTCAACACAAGCTCTAGTGGCTGTTCTTCTAGAGGGTAAAGTAAAATGTGGGCATGCTATGGCCAAAAAATTTCTAAGGCCGGGGCGTTCAGATAAGGCAAATGGTTGCTCATCTTCAATTATCATTTCAGCAAAACTGTTTCTAAGGTCATAAAGATCAAACTCCGAATTAGATAGAGTACCAACACTACTATTTCCATTTGTCTCTGTGTCACAGCTACACAAGTTCCCACAGTACTTGCACTTGGCTCTTTCCTCCCCATTTGCAATTTTTACCTTGGTGAAATGATCCCAAATATCTGAACTTAGAGCACTTGCTTTCCTTTTCTTGTTTTCCTCTTTCTCTTGCTGTTCACCTTCATCCTCCTCGCTCTGCTGATCGTCCTCCTCGTCAACCTCTATCATTTCATTCACCTGATTTGCAACGGTTTCATCAGTGTCCCCCATATATAAATAAAAACATGAAACACGCAACTTAAGATCAAGCATAGGTTAGGTTGGTCTATTTGTGCAAGATCTAAGAAACCAAGAAAGGATAACTGAAGTCTGAACTTAAGAGAAGAAGTGTAGAAGACATACGTTGGTGGACTCCTCGGTAGCTGCCGACATTGTACTGGAAGGAGATCTTCACGTGGGTGGTGCTGAGCCTGCGCGGCCGCGCGCCGTCTCCGTCGGAGCCTGCGTGGTGCCCCCGCGCCGTCGGAGCCCGATGCGCCGCGCCGTCGCCGTCATTTCACCCGCCGCCGCCGTCGCCGCCGCTGCGACCAATGTGGTGGCTAGGGTTAGGGTGCCATGCCGTGCGGCGCTGGTGCGGGAGTCGGGGGAGTGACGGCCTGACGGGGAGTGCGGCGCTGGTGCCCTTGTGGGCTGGGCAAGTGGCTGTCTGCGGTGTGCCTCACTGCCTCCTCCCTTTTGCATAGTTCGGTTACTTCGGTAGATGTTATATCGGTTCGGTGTGCTACGACCGACACCCAAGCCGATAACCGAAGTGATTAAGATCATCTCCACCAGTCCTTCAATTCCCACCCCTGAGAAAAACCTGTAGTTTGGCGCGAGCTCCAACTGCCGGCGCCAGGGACGGGGAAGGGGACGCTGACGGCAAGATGGTGGCCGCGGGGGCCATCACCGTGGGCGGGGAAGAAGACACCCGCCTTGCTGCAGCTTCTCGTGCTGCCTTGCCGAAGCTCCTGGCGCCCCCACTGGCACTGTTCGGAGGAGCGGCGGCGGAGTGCTCGCGAAGGCGAGCGGAGCAGATGCGGTCCAATTTTCTCCGGCGGGCGGCGGCGGAGCAGATACGTCGCTCGGAGCGGGAAGAGAAAGAGAGAAACGCGCGGGAAGTAAAATATTGAATGACAAATGGAGCCCACATGTTAGAAGATAAATATTGGGGATGGAATTTTCTCATTCTATTGATTGGAGATGAGGCCTTTCAAAACCCTAAAAAAAAAAAGGTTTGTAGCTCCCCTAACAACTAGTTTTAGGTTGAGATTTTCTCCTAGATGCAGAAATCTAAATGTGGCCAACCCTATGAGTGAAACTGGACACATGCCTTCGACCTTTGAGAAAGAATATCGGCAACTCATTCAACTAGTTTCAAATTTCACTCTTCTTTCGATGCTGCCAGATCTTTCATACCCAATGCCTATCTTACTATGCACCAGTTTAAATGCCAGATCAGTATTTGCTGCTTTCTTCCTTAGTGCATTGATCATCATTCAAACAGTGTTTGAAATTTCACTCTTCTTTTGATGCTGCCAGATCTTTCATACCCAATGCCTATCTTACTATGCACCAGTTTAAATGCCAGATCAGTATTTCCTGCTTTCCTTAGCGCATTGATCATCATCGTTCGAACCCTCCCAGGTACCTCACGGCCCTTCTGCACAATGCCATCTGCCAATTTGCTGGCCTGCTTGAATCTGCCAGTCTTACACAACACATTGATCATATCCTCATGAGCCGTCTCAGGAATCACCCCCATTGGAGCCAATTCATCCAATATCCTCCATGCACGGCTGAATTTACCGGAAAGGCAGAGTCCATTGGCGAGGACCCTGAAAGCTGCAGTTGTTGGGGTGATTCCCTTATCAATCATGCTGTCCCAGAACTTCAGTGCCTCCTCATTCTTGTGTTCCTTGAACAAACCATCAATGAGAATGGTGTACGTGTAGACTGTTTGATCACAGCCATCATCTTCCATTCTCTTGTAGAAAGCACAAGCATTGTCTGTTCGTCCTGCTTTGACTAATGCATCGATTAGAACATTGTAGCAATACGAGTCAGGCACAAATCCTTTAGCAATCATCTCCTCGAAGAGCTCCTTTGCTTGGTCAACCATCCCAGTTTTTCCAAAGCCATCGATTAGGCTTGTATAGAAAATGGCATTCACTGCAACACCCTTCTCTACACAACTCCTGAAGCACGCAACTGCCTCATCCATATTGCCAAATCGGCACAAGCAATTAACAACCACACCATATGTGACCGCGTCAAGCTCAATTCCACTGGCCTTCATCCTCTCAAAGAGTGTCATTGCCTCTTTCTCCCTCCCGAATTTACCCATCGAGTCAATGAGCGCAGTGTACATGGCTGCATTGGTTGGGCAACCTCGCTTCATCATCCTCTCAAACACAGCCAGCGCCTCAAATGGTTTCCCGTCCTTGCTGAGGGCGCCGATCACCAGCACATAGGCATGTTGAGGTATCTCCTTCCCCATTCCCCTCTCTTCCATCTCTTGGAACAGCGCTATGCATTGTGGAAACGTGCCCTCGCTGTAATGGCACTGCATGAGAGTGAGGTATGTCACCTTGTCCGGCGTGAGCTCTGCCTGTTCCCTCATATCCGCAAGCCGTGCCATTGCATCCTGCGTCCTCCCCGCGCGGCAGTACCCCTTGATAAGAATGTTGTAGGAAACCACGTCGGGTTGCACTCGATCTTCCGTGGACATTGCGTCGAACACGTTGATGGCGGTGTCAAGGAGGCCGGCGTTGACAAGGCCGTCCAGCAGGCAGTTGTAGGTGAGCCTGGACGGCTCAACACCGGCGAGGCGCATGGCCTGCCACGCCCACAGCAGCTCCTCGGAGAGGCCGAACGCCGCGAGGCTGCGGATCAACGAGGCCGACGACGCCGGCGCGAGGTGCCTCAGGACGGCGTCCCCGTGCGCGCGCAGCTCCGCGACGAGCTGCCGCGCCTGGCCGGCGGCGTCGGGGCCGGCGGTCTCCCTGGAGCGCGCGAAGGAGTGGAGGAGGGAGACGTAGCAGCTGAGGAGGTGCTGCGGGTGCGCGAGGAGGTCGGCGCCGTTGGGCAGGGAGCGGAAGAAGTGGAGGGACGGGAGCGGGTGCGGGGTGAGCTGCGGGGAGCGGAGCGCGGCGGCGACGAAGGTCGGGGAGAGGCGGAGGAGGAAGGTCCTGCAGAAGGCGCGGAGGTCGGTGGCGAGAGTGGCGGGCGGGGAGCGGAGGACGAGGGAGCTCACGCGGGGCAGCCACGGCGACGGCGTGGGCGGGGCCGCCGACCCGGAGGCGTACGGGCTCGGGTCCGTGAGGTCCGGGTACGGATCGATCCACTCCGGCGGCGGGAGCTGCTGGTGGTCGTGGGGAGCGGCGGCCGGCCGCCGGCCGCGGGGGACGTGGCAGAAGCGGCGCATCGGACGAGGGCGGCGGCGGCAGAGGTGTTCGACGAAATGAGCGGGCAGGCGTCTCTGAGGTTTGGGTGTTTCGTGTTTGGCTTTTGGCCAATGAGTCAATGACCGAGTGTCAGTTTGCCTCTACTCTTCTGTTTGCCATGGGAAATTATCTAACGCTACAGAAACTTTGCGAAGATGATTTCAAATCGAAGTTCCGATGAATTCGCAAGAAATTATTATTCGATAGTCAGATTTGATGCGCCCATTCTTGAAACTGAGATACTCAGAGATTGGTACAGCTCGTTAAATACTTTTTTTTTGAAAGTAATACAGCTCGTTAAATACTGAAGTGAAGTTTTAGCTTTGGTTGCTGGACCAAAAAGGACGTGAAGCCCTGAAGTAAGGACGTATCGTCTCGTCTCGTATCATGCCCCTTCAGAGTTCAGACATGGTGATGAACTGATGCAACTAGAGAATACAGGTATGATGAAGACTGAACAAGTGAACATGCCATCAAGCTCGTCTCCTTCGTCAACCATGAGCATCCGGCAAAGGCACTGAGCCACTGACACGGAAAAACTCTGCTCCACCATAGTCCTCCATAGAATGGCATTGTCCTGTAGTCTTTGTTCAGGCGTTTGGAAATGATCTGCGTAGGATGAAACATGAAAGTGGAACTAGAACTAGAATCCAGGGTCATCCCACTGCAGGACGGCGGTGCCGACGTTCTGCTCCCTCTTGAGCTTGTCCTTGAGGAACCAGTCGCAGACGCGGCCGGCGTTGAGCTCCTCGATCGGGACGCCCTCCTGCTCCGATATCACCCTCAGCAGGTTCAGTGACGATATCTGAAAAGAAACACAACAGCAGCAAAAACAGCCCTGTAAATGATCCTTGCTCGTCCAATCGTCACCGCAGCCCTGTAAATGCGGACTTACGGTGAGGCGGCAGAGGAAGCGCTCGTGCGTGCCGAGGCCGGACATCTCCACCAGCCCGGCCTCCTCCAGGCTCAGGAAGGTCCTCTTCTGCTGCTCGTCGTCGGTCGCCGCTTCTTGCTGCTGCTGCTTGTCCTCCTCCTGGCATCTCCTCCGGACCGCCAGTCTCGAGGCTGCATCTCTAGCTGCAGCAATCGAAGATGCAGTCAGATCAGGTGGTCAGGTCAGTGCTTGATTACAGCATCAACGGATCAAATTATCTCGCTCCAGCTCCGGCCAGCCAGACGCCGTTGGTCACTGGGTCTCGACCTGCAACACGACGGCAGGGGACGGCGGCTGCTCGTCTGAGCAATGGCCTGGGCGGCAGAGGCGCGGCTGCTGCTGCGCACGAGGCGTGACTCGGCTTGCACGCGCTGGTTATGTGCTGCATAGCTTGGGGACCTGCAGCTGGATCGATCGTTTTCACGTGAGCAGAGCACCCCCGTTGCTATGCTCTGGTCTCTGGACTCTGGTGCTCGGATCGGATGGAGAGGGTGAGGAAGAGAAGGACGCGGCCGCGGGATCGGGCGAGCGGATAACGCTGCAATGCAACCATATGCTCTGGCGACGAGGGCCCAGCATCAGACTAGAGGGTCTCCAGGAAGGCAGGAACAAGCCTTCGATTGCGCCCGAAGCGGCTCGACCGCATGCAGCAGCCCATGTACCAGTAGCTAGCCCGTTACGGGGTATGGGCCAGCCGCGAAATAAACAAACAAGAGCGAGCCGCTGGGCCCGTGAAGAAGAAAAAACCGGCAAGTCCAGGGCGGCAAGACGGCAGAGTGAGGTGTGCGGATGCGGACAGCGGCACCTGAAGCCCTGAACTGAAGCCCCCGGTTTGCTGGGAAACCAGCGTGCGCGGCCGCCTGTTTCGCCCCGCCGCACCACCGATCAAAAAAAGTATATTAACCCACACCACCCCGCCCGCCTAGCATGAACAACACGTCAACACGGCTTCACAATTCTTTCACACAACTCAGTACAAGTCTACAGCGATCAGCGAGCGATCCTCTGAAGCCAAACAAGCTAATCTCCAAGAAAGAGGAGGAGGAGGAGGACATGGCGGGCGCAGCGAAGGCGTCGTGGATGGTGGCAATGAGCGTGGGCGCCGTGGAGGCGCTCAAGGACCAGGCGGGCCTTTGCCGCTGGAACTACGCGCTGCGGTCCCTCCACAGGACCGCCAAGGCCAGCGCACCCAGCTTCGCGCAGGCCAAGAAGCTGGCGCCGGCGCCGGCGGAGAGGAGGAGAGCGGACAAGGCCGAGGAGGGGATGAGGACGGTCATGTACCTCAGCTGCTGGGGCCCTAATTAGTCATAGGTCATAGGTCTTTGGTCCTCTTGCTCTGTTCCAGCTTTGAGATTTCAGCAGCCGAGCTTTGGCTTGGATTGGAACATGACCGACCGGTTCGTCCTCCTGATTGTAAATATATATGACGAGCAGATGATGATGGTGAAAAGTTCTGTCAGTTCATCCAAGTATATGGATGCTTCTGTTGTCTGCTTTCTACGAATCCTGAATCCTCTGCGCTGACAAGTGTTCGTGGGGCGTTCGAATTCGATGCTTTGGTGTGGTAATTAAAGCAGAATAATCACTCGACGCAAATATGAGATGATAACCTCATATTCTGAACACTGGCACTTTAATGACCATTGACCCGCAGCAGCGGGGGGAAATGACAGCAGTAGATTTTTAGTTTTTTATTTTGCAGCACAGATCACGCTGGTGGTTTATTATCAGAGCCCAGAGGGGAAAATGAGCCTAAGACTAACCAAAGTGGTGTCCTAAAGCTTCATTTCAGGCCTACCAGTGCCAACCTCCCACACCTTTACTTAGTCCACATTAATTAACAGAATTCAGTTAGACATGAACATGGCGTCCAAGTTTTTAGGGGAAAAACAGTGCTTGTTTTGTGGTGAAGCAAAGCAACAGCACGGCCTCTATTTCCGTTTGGCACTCTCTACTTTGCAATAATTAAGTGGACAATTCAGGGGTAGTGCCAAACTTGGTGGACGAAGGCCTTTCTATCCTTCAACACTCATATGACACTATACTATTCATAGAAAATGATTTGGATGAGGCCAATAATTTGAAGATGGTATTATGGGCCTGATTAGGTGGATACCAATTTTTGCCCAACCAAAACTATGGCAAGCTAAAACTAAGGCTTGCCAAAATCAAGGTTGCCGAAGTTTTTGGACAAAAAACATAGGTGTGCATTTGGTTGACTGCCAAAATCAAGGCTTGTCAATTTTCTCTTTTATGCAGTTTAAGAACTTTCTATAGACTTGCCAAAACTTTGGCCATAAACATTAGTGTACCAATTCTTTGGCAACGAACCAATTGATGACTATAAATTTTGGCATGCTATGCTTTTGGCTGGACAAGAATTGAAAGCCAATCAATCAGATCTTACATTTGAGAAGTTATCTGGCCTTAAAATAAATTTCCATAAAAGTGAGTTTTTTTTTCTTTGGTAATACTAAGGACTTAAGTAAGGATTACGTTGAACTGTGTAGGTGCAAAAAGGGAAGTTTTCCCTTTAGGTATCTAGACATACCAATGCATTATCGCAAAATTATGAATAAATATTGGATGCTAATTGAAGAAAGGTTCTAGAAGAAGCTCAGCAGTTGGAAAGAGAAATTATTGTCCGTAGGTGGTTGACTTGTTCTAATCAAGTCATTTTTATAAAGCCTCCTAATGTTTATGTCGTCCTTCTTGATACCTAAAGGAATCCTTAAAAAGCCGGATTATTACATATCCAGATTTTTTAGCAATGTGATGAACATAAGAAGAAATATAGGCTTGCTAGGTGGAACACTTATGCAAAGCAAAGTGTATTGGGGCTCTAGGGATTTTGAACTGGGCAAAATAAGTGCCTTCTAGGCAAATGGATTTTAAAGCTTCAAAATGAAGATGGTTTATGGCAATATGTCCATAACAGGAATATCTCAAGAAGAAGACTCTATCTTAAGTGGTTAAAAAACTCAGAGACTCGCATTTTTGGGCAAGACTAATGGATGTCAAAGACTAGTTTTATACAAAGGGTAAATTCAAGGTCAACAATGATAACCAAACTAGATTTTGGGAAAATTGTTGGTTAGGAAACGAACCTTTAATGAAGATATTTCCTTCTTTGTATAGAATAGTTAGAAGAAAAAGTGTCGCGGTCTTGCAAGTGCTAAGTACAACGCCTTTAAATGTTTCGTTTAGATGGGCATTGACATGTGATAAGTTGGTAGATCGGCATAATTCGGTGGATTCAATGGTACCGATGTCTTTGAATGAGAAGTTTGCGTGAAAATTTAATAAGAACGATCATTTCTCAGTACAGTTGTTATATAAGAATATTATGAGTACTGACAGACTTCTAGGGAAAACTTTGTTCTGAAAGGCTAAGATGCCTTTGAAGATCAAAATTTTCCTTTGGTATCTTAACAGAAGGGTCATCTTGACTAAAGATAGTTTAATAAAAGGATGTTAGACATGTTATACTAAGTGTTATTTTTTAATGCGGATAAAATCATCCAACATCTCTTTTTTATTGTTACATTGCAAAATTTATTGGAATGCGATACATTTGATTTTTAATATCCAACCACCTACGAGTAAGATCATTTGTTTGGATCATGGTTGGTGAGTTTTTTTGTCATGTTTAAGAACACAAATTTAAATTGGTGTGGCGGCTATGTGCTGGGCATTGTAGTTATTTTTAGAAGGACGTACTGGATCGGTCACTAGTCTCAGTTGTTTAAAGAGAAAGAGAGATCATCATTAAGAGAAAGTTGTCGTGCTTTGGAGATTTTGGTGCTTGAAATCTTCAACAAGTTTGGTTGGCGGAACTGAAGCAGGATATAGAGGGCTAATTCCTTTCCCGAGTTTATGTTGTATGCCATGTGTAATGTCTTTTGGCCAATTTGAGTTTAAGTCCTTTGTGTCTTTTGAACGGCTATAATCATTCATTCGTGTATGTTAAAGGCTAGTGTCCTGTTCGCTTGGTTTATAAGCTGTACTTTTTTAGTCAACGAACGGTATTTTTCTCTCACAATAAATTAGCCAATAGTACTTTCAGTCATGGCTTATCAGCGAAGCGAACAGGACCTAGAGTATTTGCATATTTCTTTATTAAAAAGACTTTGCAATAATCGACGGTTGTTACATGACACACGAGACGATGGCAGGGAAAGGGTGATATCATCCCTGTCACGGCAAGAGGACATGTGAGTAGTAGGTAAATGACAGGCAGAAAGCAGGGAAGTTGTTCATGAAATGAACGGTATTTTTGCTTCGTAAATGCGGTTCTTTGAGAATCACAATCACATGCCCACAGCACGGTGTGGGTTGCATAACGGAAATGCTCTCTGTATGACGCCCGGCCATCACGACCACGGCTTCCTCAACGGATCTGCCTAGTAGGCCCGCGCTTTTCTATTAAAAAACAACTGTTGGACGTCGGTTTCTAATATCATCGCCGCACCACGTGCATATTTCGCCTTCTCTAGCGTAGGGCTGCTCATTTCGTTTTATTAAAAGACTTTGCAATAATCGACGGTTGTTACATGACACACGAGACGATGGCAGGGAAAGGGTGATATCATCCCTGTCACGGCAAGAGGACATGTGAGTACTAGGGCTTGTTTAGATGCCATCCAAATTCCAAGTTTTTTCACTCTCTCTCTCTCACATTAATTTTTAGCTGTTTGCATAGAGTATTAAATGTAGGTAAAAAAAATAACTAATTACACAGTTTAGTTGAAAATCATGAGATGAATCTTTTGAGTCTAGTTGGTCCACGATTGGACAATATTTACTAAATAAGACAAAAATGATACTATTCATCGAGTTCAAAAAATTTGCAAAGTCAACCAGGCCTAGGTAAATGACAGGCAGAAAGCAGGGAAGTTGTTCATGAACCACTGCCAGACAAGTACAATTTGATTGCTTCCGTAAATGCGGTTCTTTGAGAAGCTGTCAGTCACAAGCCACATGCCCACAGCACGGTGTGGGTTGCATAACGGAAATGCTCTCTGTATGACGCCCGGCCATCACGACCACGGCTTCCTCAACGGATCTACCTAGTACGCCCGCGCTTTTCTATTAAAAACAACTGTTGGACGTCGGTTTTCTAATCCTCATCGCTCGCCCATGGTGTCATTCTTCATCGCCGCACCACGTCATCGACCGCCATGGTAGATTCCACCGCGTCGCCCTCCGCTCGCCTTCTCTAGCGTAGGGCTGCTCGTCGCGACGTTCTCCAATCTTGAGGTTGAGCTTTGCCCCTCCAGACGGCACCTCTCTTATCCCCGCGATGTGCTCCCGCCCGTAGGGTCCCCTTCTTCTCGAGGCAGAGGGTCGGAAGAAGCGCCTCGTCCGGCGAGGCCGCACCCGCCTAAC